ACTGTATTTGCAACAGAGAATAGGTAAGCACACATCCATTTACCTACGCACAGCCTACCGGCTGAAATAGAGAGCTGGCTGACGCTGTACTAATTAAAGCAGCAAAATACACACAGTACCCCAACCAACATTGCACTGGCACTAGCAGTGGCCACTGCCATACGTTACATGTAACACACTTGACAGTACAGAATGCCCATAGAAAACTTATACAATTTAAGCGAGCAAAACCTTCTTCAATGCCAAATTCTAGCTTTTGAATATTCACCTGGAGTTGTAGCCCATACATCCCAGGAGTGTGATACGGATTCTACTAGGCAACACGCCGCAGTCAAATTCTCTTCTAACAGATAAAGAAATCCATGTTTAAGGCCGCCTCTTGAGGCGTGCAAGAAAGTTATTCGACCTTACTCTTGCGCATCGTCAGCAGAAATAACATTCATGGCACTTTCAATAAAGCCATAAAATGCTAGGCGTCACCGCTGAAACAAAATAAAGTTTTCAAATCACTGGCCATCAGACCATGTCGTCCGAATGTTCTAAAATCTGGCCCTTTCGTGGCCCCCATTGACCTGTCGGCCGCCACCCTCCAATTATCGGCCACCAGTGATGGCTTTTCCTACCATATGGCTGGCACCCGTCACTTATCACGAGCCTAGGTCGAGCCGTTTAGATTTGTGCCGCAATTCTGCATTTCCTCCCTATACCTTAAGTTAAGGAGGAATGTCCCCCTTCATTTACACCTCTTGACCTTTGACCTTTGACCCACAGCTTCAACATCCCAACTCGTTTTGACGATCCCCCCGACGTCCCAAATATCGTGACCGTACGTCGAGCGGTTAAGATTTGTGCCCAACTGTTGACGGACGGACGGACGCACGGACGGCCGGACGCACGCTCGCTCATGCGATTCTACAAGCTGCATCTGACTATGTCAGATGAGCTAAAAATCATACTATTCAGTGGCAGAACCATCTCAGATTATCTGGTGATAGAACTGCCAGCACCAACTCCTAGCATCAATCAGCTAGGTGAAAGACTGAAGGTATTGATAGACTCCTGATTGTATTTTTGCTTTCAGCCACCCTACTTTGGAGTTTATAATTATTACTTTAAAGTTACAACATTGAACAATGAATACCTTAGAATGCATACCTATACTATTCCCACCACATGCACCCAAGATTCTCTTTGCTTTCGCCTTTGCATCAGCTGGAAACGTAGGGTCATTCATGAGGGGTGGATAGGTACAAAGCGCTATCACCTAAAACACAACTGAGTGTAGAGACATAATCTGACAAAAGAATCACTTTTATTCTTCTATCATGTACGCCACATCATGTACTTTTCCACACCTTTTGTATTTCCACGAGTGAGCATAATACCGTAAAACCCCCTTTATCGAATGGACACCTATCTAGAAAAGATATTTAGTGGGGTTCCCTTCAGTGATGCTAAAATACAGGTTTGACTGTATTTATCAAAGTATCCAAGTAAGGAAATAACATGGCACTCCAAGGAGAGTATGTTTGCCCTGTGTAACTATTTACCTGTCTCATGAAGGTCATAGGTTTCTGCCCCATGGCATGACAGTCACCAATGTTTGCTCTAATAACGCTGGGGTACGGTTTCTTGACACCCTACATCATAAAATTATCATTATAATACAGCTGTGTACATCAACAGATCATACAAACACAATATACACAGAACAGTTGTTATACATTCTATATTGTTACAGATGTATTATTATAAGACTATGTACAGCTGTGTCCGCCAGAGTTAGATATATTCATACTCATCTTTTATTGAAATTTACACAGGCGAGAGATTTCATGCCACTAGAATTGACTAAATGGTCAAAAGACTTGGTGGTGGTGGTGATTATAGTATTGGTGCATTACACATTTTCTAACCTACTCACCTAACTACCTCACATTTGATTCTGTGGTTTCCTGTGCAATATAACAGTGCAAGCCCTGATTGTGAAAATCATTGCTGTAATTGTCTGGGCACAAACTTTGTAAGTGTGACCACAGCGGCACCCTCAATTTTATGCGGGCACGCATTAGAACTTTAAAAGTTTGTTTAGAGCTCAACGAATGACTACTAGTACTAACATCAAATAGAGCCATGTAGTTTAACATATGGCCCAAGGTATATATATACGAGTGGTCTACATTTGCACTTTTGCACATGTCGCACATTTGTGAAAATGAATTGTGCGCTTATATCCATGAACCTAACATATGGCGGTCTAAACAGCTTTATATATGCTGTGAATGTGTAAGTTCCAGCAGACTATATAGGGAAAAAATTGTAGATCCATGTGTGCACTAACAGTATTGTGTGCGTGTGACGTGTGTGTGTGTGTGCGCCCTGTGAGTTTACCATTCCAAAGTACAAAGCCCTTTCCATCACCAGTGCCAGTGGGCTGGATTAGGCCAAACAAATAAAGCCTGATAGCACCTAAACGTCAGATCATGTTCCTTTAACAAAATTCCCACCTCAAGCATCCACACAGCCCCACAAGGCAGTATGCAACCAATGTCTACACTATAGTCACTAATGCCATTAATTTATTTCAGCTAGCCGATGTCCTGACGCTGCGTGTTCTGCGCATGCGCACCTAACCGTGACGTCACATATATAACATCATCCAGTAAATACTTCAACCGGAGTTGCGGGAAACGGGACACTTGCGTCTTGACGTCGAGTACCACTTACACTACTAGCTTTCAAGAACGTAATACTATACACTATATCAAGGCTCGACACTAGCGGTGGCCCGGTGGCCCGGGGCCACCAAAACTTGATGTCGGGCCACCAAAATTTCCAAAAGTTAAGGGCCGGACACACCAGGCGATGCCAGGGCGATGCCATCGGCCGACGCCATCGGCCGATGGCATCGGGCGATGCCATCGGCCGATGGCATCGCGCAGTCGTGGACACACCAGGCGATGCCATCGGCCGATGGCAATCGCCCGATTCTTGCGCGCGCAGTGCGAAGAGAGAGAGAGAGAAGAAAGTCAGTATCATTGAACAACTCTGATTGGCTTGATGAATTGTAAAATGCGGGCTGGCATCAGGCCTGGCACGGCAGTCGTGGACACACCAGGCGATGCCGATGCCAGGCCGATGCCAAGCCGATGCAGCCGATGCATCGGGCGATAATATCAAAACGTTTTGATCTGTGCGATGCCGGGCGATGCCATCGGCCGACGCCATCGGCCCGATGGCATCGGCGCGATTGAGTGGACACACGCAGGCAATTTCACGGCCGATGCCATCGCCGATTGAATCGCCGATCATCGGCCGATGGCATCGCCTGGTGTGTCCGGCCCTTTAACATTTGTGGCCCGATCGGCCACTAAAATTTCAAAGTGTCTATGTGATATAATTGTTTCTTACGTGCTAATCTCATTCAAAAGAGGCGCAGACGAGAATTCGCGGAGCGAGGGCACACGTACGCACGTGCAGCATTATACCGTGGGCATACAAGGGCGCACGGTTTATGCAACAAGCCACGTTATTGTATTAGACTGGTACCGGCCTCACGCTCTGCTAGACAATGTACACGCTCTGCGACGAACAATTCGGCCGCGAACCAGTCTAGCCAGAGATCAAAATCTGAGCGGGCGCGGCCATAGCATATTTTGGCAAGCGTCAGCATACATTTGATTACATTGTATCAAGCGAACAGACAATGCGTCTAGACAATACGCCTGTCTGCAGTGTACTGTGGAGGCGTGTGTAAAATGAACGCGAGCGATGAGAGTTTCGAAGGCAAACAATTGTCATAATAAAAAAATGATGAAATTTCTTCCTTTTTTGATGCAGTTTGTTAAAAATGTTAAAAATACGGGACACACATGCGTACCGGGAAGGGTCGGTACGGGACGCGGGACACATGGGCAAAATACGGGACGTCTGGTCACCCTGATTGCGAGCTAGCTGCACTGGTGCTCACTGTTTCGGATCCGAAGCGAAACTGCCAGCGTTCGAAATTTCGCGTAGAATAACGAACATTCATGAAGATGATCAGTATTTTAATCCCGAAGTGTAATATTAGTGCTTTGTAAGTTTAGTTTATGCATTTTCTCTGTCTCTTTACGCAACGAAATATTGAACTTAGACATGGCTGCTTTTCTTGTAAATGCATGCGTACCCAGGCTACTTTGTTGATATAATTATGGTTCTACTTTATCTTATTAAAATCTGCAAATATTTATTTTACAGTTTCAAAGCCTGCCAGACATTTTAACCTTCATGAGATTAAATGTATGTTTTATTTTAACATGAAAAGCCAATGTGTTGTTGTTTTATTACAGTTACTTGTTTTAATATTTTGCATGCTCTGTGACTTGATCTTCTTGAACGTCTGAACTGATCGATAGCATGTGCACGCGCGTGTTTAGATAAATAATGAGTGAAAGTAGAAAAATGGTATGCAAGATTCTGGTGAAAATTTGATGCCGTGGAATGGATAATTCAAATGTATGCCTCAATTAAGCTCATCATGTCAGTGTGTGCCATGTGTGGGGTTGTTTAAAGACTTGTGCAAGTGCATCAGACGGCTCAATTTTCAAATAATATACAATACGAGATTGAAATAAAGATTTATGATGTTTTTCTTTGTTTTTTTCGGGCCACCAGATTTTCATTTTCGGGCACCAAAAATTGAAAATCAATGATTTTGGTGGCCGGGCCACTGAAAAAAAAAGTTCGTGTCGAGCCTTGACTATATACACTATATATACACTAGCTGGGAAATTTCTCCTATCATCCTAAACTAGCTAAATAATGTATACACTAGCTGGGAAATTTCTCCTACTAGTCTAAACTAGCTAAATAATGTATACACTAGCTGGGAAATTTCTCCTACTAGTCTCAACTAGCTGAATAATGTATACACTAGCTGGGAAATTTCTCCTACAAGTCTAAACTAGCTGGGAAATTTCTCCTATCATCCTAAACTAGCTGAATAATGTATACACTAGCTGGGAAATTTCTCCTACAAGTCTAAACTAGCTGGGAAATTTCTCCTATCATCCTAATCTAGCTGGAAAATGTATACACTAGCTAGGAAATTTCTCCTACTAGTCTAAACTAGCTGGATAATGTACACTAGCTGGGAAATTTCTCCTATCATGATCCTAATCTAGAGCAGTGGGAAATGTATACACTAGCTGGGGAATTTCTCCTACTAGTCTAAACTATAGCTGGATAATGTATACACTAGCTGGGAAATTTCTCCTACTAGTCTAAACTCGCTGGATAATGTATACACTAGCTGTGAAACTTCTACTACCAGTCTACACCATAACTAGAAAATGTATACGCTAGCTGGGAAATTTCTCCTAGTCTAAACCATTTTCTCCGATCATTCTAAACTAGCTGGGAATGTATAAACTAGCTAGCAAATTTCTCCTATCAGTCTAAACTAGCTGGAAAATTTCGCCAATCAGTCTACAATATTATTTATATATTTAAACACTAGCAGTAGCAGGTAAAGTTGTAGGCTGTAAGAATATTGTGGTTGAGAAATTTCCCGTGGCCTTACACGGTAAATTTGTTGACCGGTTTTTCGCACATGCGCAGAACACGCAGCGTCAACTTATTTCCCAACTGAGAAATATACCGCGACACCGGTGTCACGGTCTGAGATTACCCCCAGTCTGAAATTACCCTAGCGGCTACCTGCGGCATGCGCACGCATGCGCACGAGGCCACGGGTGCTGGGCTGTAAAGCGCGTGCGTAGCAAAAATTAGCATTGCCGTTAACTTGAGACTGCCACCGTCACATATTAGCCATATTTGTCAACAATCACGGACAGAAGCCCCGCTTTATTACTTGCTTGGGCCAGCAGCCGGAACAGTTGACCGCCAGCACGCGGCGGCCGTCATGGACGACCTCAATCATGGCTAGGAATGAAGGAAGGGGGCAACGGGAGAGCTCGGTGGAGAAGGAGGGAAGGGGAGAAGGAAGAATGTGGTCGGGAGAAGGGCGAAGGAGGAAAGGAAGAGGTGGTGGGAGAAGAGGAGGGGAAGAAGCTGGTGGAGAAGGAGGAAGGGAGAAGGAGTTTTTTAAAGGTGGTGGACCCCGAGGATCTGAGAAGAAGCTGGTGGATTGAGGAAGGGGATGAATGGCTGGTGCGGAGAAGGAGGTAAGGGGGAGATGGGGGAGAAGGAGCCTGGTGGGAGGAGCAGGGGAGAAGGGAGAAGCTGGTGGAGAAAGGAGGAGGGGAGAAAGCTTGTCGTAGCTTTCTCCTTCTCCACCAGCTTCTCCCTTCTCCCCTCCTTCTCTAGCCAGCTCTCCCCTCCTTTCCCCTCCTGATCCTCCCCCTTATCATCCCTTCTCCCGCTCCTCCTTCCTCCTCCTCCTTCCTCCTTCCCCTCCTCCTCCATCACCTTCTCCTCCTCCTTCTTCCCCTCCCTCTCTCCCTCCTCCTCCTTCCCTACTCCATCGCCCTTCTCTCCTCCTCTTCCTCCCTCCTCCATCACGTTCTCTCTGTTCTCCTTTCTCCCCCTCCTCCTCATCCCACCTACTCCATGCACCTTCTCCTCTCCTCTCCTCCTCCTCCTCCTCTCATCACTTTTTCTCCTGCCTCCTACCTCTCCATCACCTTCCCCCTCCTCCTACTCCCTCCCTCCTCCATTCACCTTCTCTCGCTCCTCCTCACGCCCTCATCACACTTCTCCGTCTCCGCTCCTCCTCCTAACCCTCCTATGGGCCAGCCGGGTTAAGCTATAATACGTGCGGTGGCGCCATTACAGTACCGCGTCTGAGAATTACCCCCAGGTCTGAAGTTTAGCACTTGGGCACCACAGCGATATAATTTGCAGGGGTAATTTCAGAACTGGCCGGGGTAATCTCAAGCCCGTGACCACCGGTCTGATATTACCCCAGTCTGAATTTACCACCTATGGGCATCACAGGACTATAATTTGCAGGCCGGTAATTTCAGACTGGGGGGTAATCTCAGACGTGAACCCAGTCTGGACATTTACCGTCCGCTACGGGCCAGACAAACTCTCAGACTTCGTGGCCGCGAGCAGTCTCATTATCCAGCGCTACTGCGCATGCGTCACGCATGCGCACGAGGTGCTAGGGGTAATTTCAGACTGGGGGTAATCTCAGACCGTGACACCGGCACTGGCCATGTTACATATATACCTCAGCTGATTCCACAACTAATGCTGCCAGGGACCATGTCTCCCTGGATACTGCCGGAACGTACCCTGGTACTAGCTCTAGCAACTATAGCCTACGCAGGCTATAGTTACTAGAGCTACCCTGGTACTAAACCGACCAGGCTCTCCGACTAGTTACACGGCGGAGGACACACCTCTAGTTACACCTCTCGCCACGTAGTGTTAAGCGAGATGGGAACTTGTGGCTACCCTGGTACCATCTAATATGCCGGACCGTACCTCGCCTACCCCACTAACGAGTCTAGGGAGTCGCCTACGCCTACTCCCTAACCCTAACCATATCAGATATTGTCCTATCCTATGACCGTCCTGGACATCATCTCTATCCTTGAACCAGGGAGGGCCGACATAGACCCTATCAGCACAACTAATACTAAGTAATACTACATTATATACCTACATACAGCCGTACTCACTACCAATTTATAACATTATCAAACTCGCTTGATTACCTGCTTAAGTTCCTTTTCTAAACCAACAGCTTTGATAACGATTGGTCCTCTAACGCTATATTCCATATCCTTGATGCACGGATTTAGTGTATCAAGGTTAAGTACTTTTGAAGACATGGCTCTGTGTGTCATTCTTACGACGGACATGCAACTAATAATTGAACTATGCCGTGACCGACAACCATGACCAAGCCAGGGGCCAAGGCCGTGGCCAAGGGTACACAAACTACCAAATTGCATTATTATTCTAGTTGCAGAAAATCAGCTATCGCTGTTTGACACAAACTTTGCTGAGACGTAACCACACAAATTCAGAAACCCGTGCATGAAATCACGAGCTGTTTTGAAAAAACTTAGAAATATTATAAATAGACAACATTGGCGCTTCGATCGTAAGCTCATGCTTTCCCTCCATAGAAAATCATTTGTCATTGGTGGATACACTAACTAGCTAGCAACTTCCTCCAATCAGGTAATCAGTGGCGTGTAAACAACCTGTTTTTGTTTACTCCCGCACCCGATCACATAATCGTTCCAATTCTTCTTGTAACTATCCAAACTTTTCTATAAATCAGCAAAGGTATTTGTGAATTGTATACCTCTGTCGGAATGAGACGAGCAAGTAAATAAATTTTATTCATATTTTTTATTACTTATTTTTTTATTTAATTGATATAATTATTATATTTTTTTATTCTAATTCAAGTTATAGGCATATGTTTGCCAAATTCAGTGGTTTCAGAAGGGAGTGTGTTCTCTGCTGTTTCAAGAAGGACGGGGTTCGCTGCGCAAAGGACAGAGGAGTTGGAGTACGTCGTCGCTGTCATGCAAGCTGCTGTCATGATCGGAGGGTGTGAGTGTGTATGGCGCGCGCAGCGCGTCGCGTCGTGGCGTGCGTCGCGTGCGTGCCGTGAGCCGCGCGCGCGCTCCGCCCGCCGCGCGTCGTGTGTGTGTGTGTGTGGTGTGTGTGTGTGTGGCTGTGTATGTGTCGTGTGTGTGTGTCGGCAGGCCAGCGCCGAGCCGCGTATGCATGTACATTGTGCATGTGCGTGCGCCATGTGAGTGTTTTGGTGTGTGTTTATGCAATCCGCGTGCGCGTGCGTGCGTAGCGTGCTTGCGGGTGCGTGCCGTGCCAAGCCAATACAAGCCAATAAGCACCACTCACGCTACTACGTACGCTACGCGCACGGGTAAAAGCGTTACGCTACGATACATACGCGGGGTTAATGTTGCGTTATGTCATGTATGTATGTATGTGTGCTGTGTGTGCGTGCCGTGCGCCGTGCGTGCGTGCGTGTCGTGCGTGCGTGCGTGCGTGCGTGCGTGCGTGCGTGCGTGCGTGCCGGCGTGCGTGCGTGCGTGGCGCTGCGTGCGTGCGTGGCGTGCGTCGCGTCGCGTGCGTTTGCGTGCGTGCGTGCGTGGCGTGGCGGTGCCGTGCGTGCTGTGCGCTGCGTGGCGTGCGTGGCGTGCGTGCAATGTATGTATGTAATGTATGTATTGTATGTATGTTGTATGTATGTATGTATGTATGTATGTATAGTATTGTATGTATGTTAATGTATGCATCGGTAATGTATGTATCGTATGTATGTATGTATGTATGTACATATTAAGTGCTTATGCTAATGTATGTATGTATTGTATGTTATGTGATGTCACGGATGTTTACTGCTAAGTATGTATGTCATGTATGTATGTAAGTGTATGATATCGTAGTTATGCGGTATGTAATGTATTATGTATGTATGCTGATTGGTATGTATGTACTGCTATGTATGAATTTTTATGCGTGGACGTGTAGTATGTATGTAATGTATGTACTGTATGTTATGTCATGTATGTATGTTATGTATGTATGTATGATATGTATGTATGTATGTATGTATGTATGTATTATCGTATGATATGTATGTATGTATGTATGTATGTATTTCATGTATGTATGTTATGTATGTATGTATGTAATATGTATGGTATGTATGTATGTATGTATGTATTATGTTATGTATGTATGTATGTATGTTGTTATGTATGTCATGTATGTATGTATGTATGTATGTATGTAGGTATGTATGTTATTGTATAGTATGTTATGTATGATGTAATGTATGTATTGTATGTATGTATGTAGTTGATGTATTGTATGTTATGTATGTTGGTATGTATGTATGATGCTGCTATGTATGTATGTATGTATGTATGTTATAGTTTATGTATGTATGTATTATGTATGTATGTAGGTATGTCATGTATGCGATGCCACACATGCACTCCGCAGTGCGATGCATCGCATGCCTGCATGCATGCATGACACCTCATGTAAGCGGTATGTATGTACATGTATGGTAGTGGAGTGGGTATGTAGTATGTATGTATGTATGTATGTATTATGTATGTATGTGATGTATGTATGTATGTATGTATGTATGTATGTATGATATGTATTGTTGTAATGTATGTAATGTTGTAATGATATGTATGCTATGTATTGTAGTATGTATGTAATTGCTTGTATGTATGTATTATGTATGATGATATGTTGTATGTATGTATCAGTTATGTATGGATGTATGCTATGTACATTATGTTATGTATGTATGTATGTAGTATGTATGTTGTATGATATCTGGGTAGGTGTATGTCAATACGGTTGATGTGAGATCGGTGCCCGGTCCGCGAGTGCGTGCCGTCTGCGCGTGCGTGCGTGCGTGTCGTGTATGAAATAGCTAATATATGACATTGATACTGATATATTATTCCTGTACCGGTGTTGTGGTGCGTGTGCGTGTGCGTGTTGGGTGTGCCGTCGGGTGCGTGCTGCGTGGCGTGTATGTTGTGTGCCCGCCGCGTGTGTGTGCTAAATGTGGTAGTGTGCTGTGCGTGGGCGCGGCGTGTGTATTGTGCGTTGCGCGATGCCCGTCAATGTATTGAATGCGTGAGTCGCTCGCGTGCGCAGCCGTCCTGCTGCGATGTGTGTCGTGCGCGCGGGGTTGTGTGCAATTTATATTTAGATCACGGGAGAGTTGTAACCGTGCCCGCCGCGCCGTTCCCCCAATGACCTTTCCAAAGAGATAACTAAAACTAACTCAATGAGCAATTTGCCTTTTTTAAGAAATTTGACTTATTATTGATGCTTCTAAACCAAATGATTACTTTTTCAAAAAATAATATCTATATAAGTGAAAATGTAAGGGAGGTGAAACCGGCCCGGCCAGCCGCAATGTTTTCCTTGATCCTATTTTTGAAAATTGTGTGTCCAATTTTAAGGTAGAATTCAAGATTTTCATATTATTTAGATACAATCTTTCTTTAAACCAAATATTTGACTATAAATGCACTCGAGCTAAATATCGACAGTATTTATTTCGTTTACGTATAATATCGCGGTACAAATAAAAAACAAGAGATAATATTGGTTACAACCGCCCGATACTCAAATCAGAACGGACACACACAAAACACCGTCTGGTACACACGGGTAATTGCTAGTATATATATATATATATATATTATACCTATTATATATATATATCTATACTATATATACGGTACTATATTATTATATATGTGGCTGCTAAGTTAGTAGATCACTGTATAAATTTCTTTTTATGTCATTTTTTTTTTTTTTTTTCTTTTAAACATTTAGCACTTAATACGCCACTTGAATGTGTTGTATGTGTTCGATATACCGTTCGTGTGCATGTAGTTGCGTCCATTCGTCGTGTGTGCATGTAGGCTTTTGCGTCCATTCGTGTGTGTGCATACTGTGCGTGTGTGTGTGTGTGTTGTGTGGTGTGTGTGTGTGTGTGTGGCGCGCGTGTGCGTGTGTAGCGTGTGTGTGTGTGTGTGCGCGCGCGTCTCCTGTGTAGGCATGCGGTGCGTGTGTACGTGTGTGCGTGTGCGTGTGGGTGTGTGCGCGCGCGTCGTGTGACTGCCACATGCGTCTCTGACTTAAGCATCCAACCCAGTGACGATGACATGTCAGCTCTTCAATGTGACTGCCTTAAACCTACCCCTGCAAAGCAAAAATTCTGCCAGTAAGCAAACCTTATATTTCGGTTTATGAGTAGGCGCTAACCCCTGTTAAAAACACTGAATATATAAATGAACTTATACACTCTTGACTGTGTACTGTATGTGTTCGGTAAAGCGTTCGTCGTGGCATAGTAGGTTTGCTCCCATTCGTTGTGTGCGTGGTGCGCTGTGGCGTGTGTGCGTGTGTGCGTGTTGGCGTGTGCGCTGTGTGAGCGTCGTGCGCGTCGCGCGGTAGTCTCCGACAGCTCGGTATTTAAAACGTTTAAAAACCGCCTTTAAAATATTAATTAAATTTGTTGTTATATATATATTCAGGGCTTCGCCAACTAAAGCTGCACGCGCGCGCCCGCCAGGCTAGTAGACAATCAGTAAGGCTAGTAGAATGTCTGGTCTGACCAAAGCCCTGTAGCTTTGAGTCGAACCTTTATCATTCATAATGGCGCGCGTTCATTTACAAACGGCCCGGGTTGCACAATACGCTGCAAACGTACATGCTCTAGACCACTGATCTCTAATACATAATGGAATAATATTATTATAGAGATCAATGGTTAGACGCATTGTCTCGCTCTCTTGATACACAAGTATAACATCCCAACGTCATTTAACAACACAATGTTTCGTTAATTAACCACAACTAGGTCTTATCGTGTCAATTGTCCAACTTGTTACTCATAAGTCATGTGACTGACGAGTGTTAGTAAGTAGTGAATGTTAGTAGTCATATTTATACTATTAGTACCATTAGTTAACTTAATAAAGTGTTATGAAAAAATTTCATGCAACTTTTAATTACGTATTATTATACGTCATTTGATCCCAGCATCATTTACCACATTACCAAATTTTATTATCTTCATATAATCAGAGCCAGACATGAAAGAAGGACCTTCTTTATCTTTATCTAGATAAAGAAAGACCTTCTTTATCTGCTCTTGATATAAATGTGAACAAATGCGAATGGCCAGGTCTGCTGTCACTGCAATACGTACAAAATGTACATGATTAGGCCTTTTGCTTGACAGCACTGAGCATCACGTGAGCAGAGCGCATGCCAGCACATGTTTAAATAATATCCGGACAACCAAAACCCTGAGGCGACAACCATATGGCTACTCTCTTGGTTGTCCTCCGGACAAACCCAAAAAAAACCTTAAAATTCGAGCACCTAGTATTATATCAAAGCTTTAATATACACTAGAGTGTACAATGGGAAAAACTGGGAAATGTGCTATTTCACGGCAATATTATCTACTGAGGCCTGTGGGAGGCATGATTACGCTCCAATATGTCGGCCTAGGAGTATCGTAGAGACAAGCGTTGGTCTTATT